AAGCAAGCCCTGTCCAGATTTTAAAAGTAACGCAAAAGTAACGTAACGCATTACTTTCCATACCAAGTAACGAAGTAACGCAATTACTTACTTTTTTTATGGAGTAACGCAATATTGTACTGCATTACTTTTAAAAGTAACTTTCCCCAACACTGCTCAAGGGCTATGACAGCTACATTATTGAAAATGTGGTCTGCATACCACATTTATTGAGTATTTGGTATTTTCTCACAGCATTTCTTTTCTAATTGTATCGCTCCACAGACTTGATATGTTCTCGCGATGACTGCATGGTAACGCGCGTCGGTGGCCTGCGCTTCATGGTTCACTGATGCCATCTAGCGAGATCCTGCCAATAAGGCATAGTTCACCAGAAAATCACATTTAGTTGTCATGTGCTCAGCCTCAGCCTGATGATTGTTCAGTCCCGTGTGACTCGCATGTCTTTCTTTCAGAACAAAAAAGAAGATTTTAAGACAGAATGACATTCTCGGTCACACTTCGCTTTTGTTTTGTATGGAACAAAAGATTCCGTTAAAATAATAATGGTTACTAGATTGCCCGTCCTTAAAATTCTGCCATCTCTTCAAAAGAAAAGTTTGGGACATCAGGGTGAGTAAATTAGTTTGGATGAACTATCCTTTAAAGCAGGGCTGTCCAAACTCGGTCCTGGAGACTTGGTGTCCTGCAGAGTTTAGCTCCAACTTGCCTCAACACACCTGACTGGAAGTTTCTATGCCTAGTAAGAGCTTGATTAGCTGGTTCAGGTGTTGTTGAGGCAAGTTGGAGCTAAACTCTGCAGGACACCGGCCCTCCAGGACCGAGTTTGGACAGCCCTGCTTTAAAGGTTTCTCTCATTAAAGATATTGCATGCGTCCCTCTTAATTATAGTTTTAGTTCTGTTTGACTACTCATCAAATTGATGAATTGTTACCTAATCTCTTGATGGAATGTTTCATGACAAGATGGACAACATAAGATTTACTTATCATAACACTATAAAAACAACGTTCAGAAAACAAAAGCATCCCAAACTGATAGGAGGGCAGGCCATCAATAAAATAAAGCAAATGAGCAATTATTGCTGCATATGTTAAGACCAACAAGGCATTTACTGACTGAAAACTATCACAGGTGATGAGCCATCATTTTCTGCAACAAACATTTTGCGATTTAATCAAGTTAGCCATCATGTTTGTCAAATGAGACCTCTATTTAGAGCTCTGATTATCCAGCTTTGCTCCTCTTATGGATAAGAGGGACTTTATGCTTGTAAGTACCGCTTTCTATTGCTATTTCCGTTTAATTAAAAGCCAGTATAAATGGTAAGAAACCGAAGCAGTTTCTTTTTGATGCACTTTATTGACAAGTCGTCTCTAATCTAAAAACCACAAACAAATGACCTTAGTCCCAAATACCCTTAGTCATTGTTTATGGACCATTGCATGAATGTCATCAGTCAGGTTCTTTCTGGGTAGGCAGAAACAATGAGAGGGAGGGAGGAGTGTTGGTTAATTTCAAAAGCTATATAACTATAGAGCCCCGGATACAAAGATACACCTGCTGAGTTTCCCACTCTCAACTCGACTGTGACCATGAAGTTGGCTATTCTGATCTGCGTTTCTGTTCTCGTTTACCTCTCTGGTAAGTATCAAAATTGGCATTTTATGGTACATAAATACAATGAAATGTGAATATTGTGTAATCTTAATTAAAACCAAAGCCAGATAGATAGATCAGACTACTATTGTTGATTAACATGCATCATATGACACTGACGTGTTATAATAAGCATGTTTGAGATACACAATATTTGTTTAACATATGGATGACTTTCAATTCATTGTTTGCTTTCCGGAAAATCCACACATGATAAGGTTACAGCTCACAAGATTAAACTGTCGTTCTTTAGAGCCATTATTCACTAACACAGACAGACCCATTTTGTCATATTTTGGAATGGGTATATGTTGTAGAGATCCATGATCAATGACATTTGACACTGATGAGAACTGAGATACTGTTAAGTGGGTCAGACTTTATGCTGTTTTCAAAAAAAGAGAAAATACGGACAGAAACAGCCCAGAATCGATAAGTTGAATTGTTGTTATAAGGTTATAGCTCCTTTATCCAGCCTGATTCTCTGACTAGAACCTATTCTGAAGTATTGTAGGAACATATATCCCTTTAATCCATGCAAATACACTCAAGAACATAAAAGGATGTTAAAATGACTTAAATTTGTTAATTATTGTTTTTTGTTGTTGTTGTTTTCAATTATAAAGATCATAACAAAAGGAAAAAAAGAGAAGCGCAAATGCGTTAAGGACCTAGAAGCTATTCAAGCAAAACATACAATAGGTTGAAAAGAAAGTACAAAACTTGCTTAGCCACTTTTTTTTTTTTTTTTTAATCTAAGACTCGTCTGGAATTTCGACAGGCAACATTAGTGCCTTTCCTGGTTTATTTTTTTTCGAAATAATATAAATTTTTCAATACTGTTTCCACAGTGGCAGAAGCACAACAGAGTGAGGTAAGTTAAAGAAAAAAAACTCTCATGCTCACCAAGGTTGCATTTATTTGATCAAAAATACAGTAAAAACAGTAATATTATCATTACTCCAGTATTCATTGTCACATGATCCTTCAGAAAGGATCTTATTTATTCACGAACAGCTTGTAACACTCCAAAGAGAAAGGAAAACTTGAAATCGCATCATATGACCCCTTGAATAAAAGTTTTTTTTTCTAGTCTAGTTTTTTTTACTTACCACAACTCACTACAAAAACCCTATTTAGAAAAACAAAAGCATCCCAAACTGATAGGAGGGCAGGCCATCAATAAAATAAAGCAAATGAGCAATTATTGCTGCATATGTTAAGACCAACAAGGCATTTACTGACTGAAAACTATCACAGGTGATGAGCCATCATTTTCTGCAACAAACATTTTGCGATTTAATCAAGTTAGCCATCATGTTTGTCAAATGAGACCTCTATTTAGAGCTCTGATTATCCAGCTTTGCTCCTCTTATGGATAAGAGGGACTTTATGCTTGTAAGTACCGCTTTCTATTGCTATTTCCGTTTAATTAAAAGCCAGTATAAATGGTAAGAAACCGAAGCAGTTTCTTTTTGATGCACTTTATTGACAAGTCGTCTCTAATCTAAAAACCACAAACAAATGACCTTAGTCCCAAATACCCTTAGTCATTGTTTATGGACCATTGCATGAATGTCATCAGTCAGGTTCTTTCTGGGTAGGCAGAAACAATGAGAGGGAGGGAGGAGTGTTGGTTAATTTCAAAAGCTATATAACTATAGAGCCCCGGATACAAAGATACACCTGCTGAGTTTCCCACTCTCAACTCGACTGTGACCATGAAGTTGGCTATTCTGATCTGCGTTTCTGTTCTCGTTTACCTCTCTGGTAAGTATCAAAATTGGCATTTTATGGTACATAAATACAATGAAATGTGAATATTGTGTAATCTTAATTAAAACCAAAGCCAGATAGATAGATCAGACTACTATTGTTGATTAACATGCATCATATGACACTGACGTGTTATAATAAGCATGTTTGAGATACACAATATTTGTTTAACATATGGATGACTTTCAATTCATTGTTTGCTTTCCGGAAAATCCACACATGATAAGGTTACAGCTCACAAGATTAAACTGTCGTTCTTTAGAGCCATTATTCACTAACACAGACAGACCCATTTTGTCATATTTTGGAATGGGTATATGTTGTAGAGATCCATGATCAATGACATTTGACACTGATGAGAACTGAGATACTGTTAAGTGGGTCAGACTTTATGCTGTTTTCAAAAAAAGAGAAAATACGGACAGAAACAGCCCAGAATCGATAAGTTGAATTGTTGTTATAAGGTTATAGCTCCTTTATCCAGCCTGATTCTCTGACTAGAACCTATTCTGAAGTATTGTAGGAACATATATCCCTTTAATCCATGCAAATACACTCAAGAACATAAAAGGATGTTAAAATGACTTAAATTTGTTAATTATTGTTTTTTGTTGTTGTTGTTTTCAATTATAAAGATCATAACAAAAGGAAAAAAAGAGAAGCGCAAATGCGTTAAGGACCTAGAAGCTATTCAAGCAAAACATACAATAGGTTGAAAAGAAAGTACAAAACTTGCTTAGCCACTTTTTTTTTTTTTTTTTAATCTAAGACTCGTCTGGAATTTCGACAGGCAACATTAGTGCCTTTCCTGGTTTATTTTTTTTCGAAATAATATAAATTTTTCAATACTGTTTCCACAGTGGCAGAAGCACAACAGAGTGAGGTAAGTTAAAGAAAAAAAACTCTCATGCTCACCAAGGTTGCATTTATTTGATCAAAAATACAGTAAAAACAGTAATATTATCATTACTCCAGTATTCATTGTCACATGATCCTTCAGAAATAGTAATACTATGCTGATTTTGTGCTCAATAAATGTTTATGATTTTTTATCAGTGTTAAAACAGACATGCTGTGTAATATTTTTGTGGAAACCTTAATACAATGTTTTCAGGATTCTTTAATGAATAGAATTGTTTACCATTTATTTGAAATAGAAATCTTTTGTAACATAACTGCTTTACAGTCACTTTTGATCAATTTAAAGTGTCCTTGCTTAAAATGATTAATGTCTTTAAAAAGAAATCTTACTGACCCCAAACTTTTGAACAGTAGTGTATAATCAAGTAAAATAGTGGTAAAGTGCCATAATATTTGGTTTGATTTTGGGAATCTCTCTGACATCATAATAGGACAACACTGTTCCTGATTTTGGATGTACTCGTGAGTACAATCCAGTGTGTGGAGATGATGGTGTCACATACTCCAATGAGTGCATGCTACACTGGGAGAACAAGTACGTGAGCTGAACATTTGTGCAATGTAAATTCAACATTTTGAGAAGGCTGAGGCAACAGATGTGAGAAATCTCAGGCTAAGCCCAGATGTCAGCTGTGAATCAATAACAAACCTCCCAAGGTTTAGAAACAGCCATGTTTTCATTATGAGGACAAATGATCTATTATTAAAAAAAAGCACAAGACATAGTAAACATTCTTGACAGCAGTTCAAACAGAACTTGTGCCTCTTCTCTGTTTAGGTCTCGTGACAAGAATGTCAGCCTGAAGCACGTAGGAGTGTGTGAGACCTCCTGAATTCACTGCTGTTACATCTATGGCATCCACAATGGCTTTCCATTTAGATACTACAGCAACAACCAGCATGATTTTCTGTCATACATTAATCAGTATAATATGAAGACATATGCTATTGGAACTTTATCAGACATTGCTTTGTCAATATGTAATCTCATGCAATAAACAGAGAAGCATTTAAGAGCTCTATTTTATTAATACATTAAAAGAATTTCAAATAAACCACATTCTCTAACTCTAAATGTTCTTTCTGCTACATAATTACTATGGCTCTGTACTGAAAAGAAAAACGGCATAATTTTGTAGCACATATGAGCATTTTTTTTCCTGAGCCAGATAAACTTCAGAAAGCTAAAAATACTTAAAATATTTTAATATGTGGGTGAATGCAAGATTTCGTTTTTGTTTTTTTTTGCATCATTCAAAAATACATTAAAAATGCAATTTACACACACTGACTTGAACATATTTTCTATAATGTACATGTTTTTGTTTTCTGGAATGAAATTCATTTGGACATGTTTGAGAGGCATAAAGTAAATATTGGGATGATACAACTGTCTTTGTATTATAATAATCTGATCATAATTAGAATGTTAAAAAGCTTATTTAAAGTAAATAAAACCTGATATATAAACCTGATACATATGAATAAAAGAAACAAGAACACTTCTAAAAACTTAGCAAATATGTTTTGGAGTTTTACTGTTTTTTTTTTTGGTGAACACATTTTAAATTGTCTTTTGCCGTTCTAATTATGTAAACATTTTCAAACATTCTAGCTGTACAACTGTATTTTTACAGCTGTAAAATTCTGATTTTAATTCTGCTTAATATTTCTGATTCAATTTTAAAATTATACAGACATCTATAGCACTCTTCTCACATTTCTTTTGATAGCATGGCGAAGAAACATTGCATGCCACTTTCTTAATGAAGCAACCAGACAAATCCATCATTCAGAACTCAATTATTTTATTAGTTCATTGTGTTCCAAGAAAGCAGCAGCAGTCCCAATTTATACAGGTCACATTTTAACCACCATAGAGTCCACGAGTGCCAGGATCTCCCCAAAGTAACCGTCCTGCTCCCCTACATCCTGCTCTGTGAGCACCAGTTCTTGGTACTGTTTTTGCAGTTCACTAAGAGAGGCTGTCAATGCGGGATTCTGTTTATATTGAGTCTGACATTGAGCCATCATGGCAAGCAGAGTGCGCAGAGCCTTCTCTCTGCTGTCATGCTCAGGTGATGCTAAAAGCACAGGCACCAGGCTGCACCACCCCTGCTCCACCAGCACGGGCAGGAGGGAGACTTCAGCATACTGTCGCAACCGTTCCTGGCGAGAGGAATCTGATGTAAGGTCCATTCCCACCTGTGATACCAACTCCTACAACACAAAGTACAAGTGACTTTTAACAATGAGTTAATTACATACGGTATGAATTGTGAAATGAAAAACTGACTTTTCAAACATGTTTTACCTTTTAAAAGTTTGGGGATGGTAATATTTGTTAATCGTTATTTTCTCTTATGCTTACCAAGGCTGCATTTGTGTGATCAAAAATACAGTAAAAACAATAATGTTAAAGCAGCACTATGTAACTTTTTCTGTGTTCAAAATTTGCGAAATGTATATAATAAGCGAGTACATCTTGAATTCATCTTCCAAACCGCGTTTTTGTCTTATTCCGAATCACTACGGTACACTTATAATAAGTACTTATATTTGGACTATTGTAGCCAGGTCGGGTCGTCACCGCTGCGGAGTAACACATACCTGCGTGAATCGCCATAAACTTAAGAGTAGTAGCTTTGGTTCGAATGTTATTCCGCGGGATGTTTGCAGTTCTGTTTATTAACCGCTAGAGCGCCAAAAGTTACA